ATGGAGGGCGCCTCCCGGTCCCGCATCCCCGAGGGGCCACAGAAGCACTTAGCCGGCGGGAAGGAAACAGCCCGTGCCGGGCCCTGGGGAGCAGCATGATCCCAGCCCTAAGTGCTTGTCCAAGGCCACCCACATCTAGGGGAGCCACCAGGGCGGGACTAGGACAATGGTGCAGCGCCGCCACCGCCCCACCTTCCTGCTGCCACCTCACCCCTTGCTGGGAGCCGCTGCTCTGAAGCGGTTTCCTCCCCAGGCCCGCATTTGGCAGAGGAAGAGCTGATCAGCCCAGCTCCCTTCTCACCAAGGCTATGTCTACACTCCAGGCTTCTTGCAGCAAGTAATATGCAAATGAGACTAAGGGTGGAATATCTCCCAGCCTCATTTACATACCTAATGAACCACCCTTTTTTTCAGAAGAGGCTCTTGTGCAAGCAGGAGCGTTCTACTCTGACCCTTCTTGTGCAAGAAAAACCCTCTTGCACAACGCCATTACACCTATTACTTTTCAGGAAGAATGGTGTTGCGCAAGAGGGTTTTTCTTGCGCAAGAAGGGGCAGTGTAGACACTCCTCTTCTGAAAAAAATGGTGGCTCATTAAGTATGCAAATGAGGCTCGGCAATATTCCATGCTTAGCCTCATTTGCATATTACTTGCACAAGAAGCCACGAGTGTAGACATGGCCCAAGTGTTCGGAGATCTACAGCCACCAGGCTGTGCTGTCCTTCTCCCCTCCCCGTCCCCCACACCACTGGCCAGTCCCTCCCATATGCCTGACTATCTAATCACTTCCTTTCATAGCCTAGGCTGGGGGCGTGTCTAGTGGTCCCATCCCAGGGACTATACTTCCACAGCTGCCGAACTGTAATGCTTGAAACTGGAAAATCTCACTAGTCAGACATACGCTTTTGGCCTTTAGTCTGCAAACTACTGCTGTGAATTAAGGCAAGCCCCAAAGTACTTATTTTAGCAATCAAGCACTTGCTTAAATGCTTTCCTGGACCAATTTAGTAGAGCTCTGCATGTGGTAGGATCAACAGAGTCTATCAATGGAGTCTCCAGAAAGGGCATTTACACTGTGTTTCTTAACTAAGGTGCCAGTGTCCTCATTGATCAGGGTGGGTGGTGTTACAGATATCTCCCTTTATTTCTGTAAGCCCATGTTTGATTTCAAAACTGAAGTTTTACATACAACACTCTGAACAAGGTTCGAACAGGCAGGCATATCACTGATAATTAGTGGTCACCAGCATGCCCTCTCAGAGGATGACAGAGGCCCAAAGCCACTTTGAGTTTAGAGGTCCCCGCCCTGCTCCAGCCCCCGACATATCTAACTACTCATCCACAGGGTCATACTAAAAACCAAATGAATATATGAAAATGAAGATCTGAGATTTATTTATTACCAATTAAGTCATTGGACCAATAGCATGCATATTAAAAAATGTAACTTTAATTATGAGTTTCCACTGCAAGCAAATCTCTTCATTTTAGGAATGTTTTTCTGGCTTTGTTGTGCAGAAACTCATTTGTAATTGAAGAAAATTCTAATTTATGTGCAACATCACTGTTAAGGTTAAGCATTGCGAGTCCATTCAAACTCTCTTGTCCCATTATAGAATGATAGTTCTTTACTTGTTTTAACACATTGAATGTGCATTCATCTGAAGCCACTGATGCTGGAAGATTGACAAAAATTACATAATGCAATTGTAATATTAGAAAATACAGTCAATAGGCCAAGATCAAATATTTCTTGAAGCAGTTCTTTTGGCTTGCAGTCTGATTTAAGGTTGGTGGAATGTATACATTTCAGAAAGACGATCTCACCACACAGATCTCTTGAAATTTCATTGTGGTACCCTTGTTGAAACTAAATATAGATCTTCATCACTTAGTTCTCTGAACTCCAAAAGGAATCCAAAAAGAGTACAAATTTGTCCCAGTGACTCAAATGGACATGTAAGACCAGATTTGATGGAGTCACTAATAACACCCAAAAAATGACTCAATAGTGCCTTTCAACATCAGATTGAGATGTTAGCGGTAATTGAAAACTCAGATGAAGTGTCAATACCTTGTGCTACTGATTTGGACTCAGAAAGGATTGCGTTCCATTGATCACAGATCTTTTGAATATCTTTAAGAAATCATTCAATGATATCTCAACATCTAATGTAGCACTGTGTTCTTCAATTACAAGATTAGGTTTGTGGATCATTTTTAGCTGCTTCATCCACATGCGTTCAAATTTGGATGTATACTTCTGAATTTACTTAAGCTCAGTGCAAGCCTATGCTGTGAGAATAAGAGATTCAAACTCACTTAAAGCCTTTCTCACAGAGTCTAAATGCTCTGCAACTGGTTTAACACCATCAATTCATGCTGACCATCTTGTTGTCAATATCCTGCGAAGGGAAACAGGCAGATGCTGCTTCAGAATTTCCCACTTTCAAAGACTGCTACTGAAGAGGTTGTACAATTGCTAGATTGTTCCAAAGTATGTGATTGCTTCCAGTGCACATGACCTCAATATTGGTGCACACGCCAAAACACACTACACTGATGGTTGGAAAATCTTAGAGGGAATATAACTGGAGGCCATTACTAAGCCAGGCAGCTATTGCTAAAAGTGTTTGCTGTTAAGAAAATGGACTAAATTGGCATTTTGAACCACTTTCCAATTCTTAACAGCTAGCAAAAAGAAATTGTAACCCCACACCTGAAATGCTTTGCTCTGCTGTGAATATATGCAGAGGAGTGGAATTATATGTCTATGCAAGCACACAGAGACAAATCTGGAACTGAGTTAGGCTCTAACAGTGCTTCAAATTTGGTAAGTTGATTAAACAGTACAATTCAATACAGTGACTAGTTTTTAGCCAGTTGGTGAAAGTGACACCCTTTCACTGTAGTCATTTCCAGGAAGAACTGAGCAGCCTTAGCTATGGGCAATTGGTATGGTGCTTATGCCCCAATTTTTAATGATATTTCCATAGAAAAGTCTGACTCTATAAAACCCTTTTCCAATATCCTATATAAATTATGTGGGACCATCAGGATCACATCCAAGGAAACCCCGGCAAAAAGTTTCTAGCTATATTGATGTTCCTCCCTCCTTGGATGTGTAATGAATAAAAAACACTACTTTTACATCCCTATGTGTGTTTGCATACATTGCTTGGACACACGCACACAGTGAAATGAAGCTGAATGTCTGCTCTTCATTTTACTAGGTCTCTAATAACTAGAGTCTTCCAAGGTAGAGAAGATCTTAAATATCCAAAATTAAACAGTTACCTCCAACCCCCTTTCTTTGTATACAGTACAAAAAATGCCTTTCAGGAGTGCTAATGTGGACCAGCTACACACATTTAAGCCAATGTGTACTATAAACTTTCTAAAATAGGGCTTATAAATATTCAGAACCTCTCAATTTGAAAAGGGTACACTAATGAAGAAATGTAAATAGATCTAAAAACAGGAGGAGGAGTGCTTTAACAAGAAAAATCCCACAACATTTGCCAAGTATTGAAATCCATTGTACATTAATGTTTTTCTTATGGATCTGCTCAGAAAATTCAAGTGTTTGGTTTGCTGCAGTCGTATTGTTGCTTATTTTGCTGCCTATATTAAAAGCTGCACTCTTGATTCTCAGATGTCCGATTGTTACATGAGACCAGATATAATCTGATATAGGGAAATGTACTCTGTGTAAGTTCACTTTACCCACATAAAATGAAAATGTTATATCAATTAACATTCTTCCATTTAGCAAAAGGTGCTCAGTTCCTTTCTCCAGTGCTTGGATATTTGACAAAGTATGCTCCTCATCTAAGTTATCAAGATTTTATTCAGTCTAATTAAAGATTACTATTATGAAATACTAAAGACATTTGAAGTTTGCAGAGTACTACAGAGCTTTCTACACATGGCAGTCAATAATGCACACACATGTACTCCTATACTACCTATTTTTAGAGCACTGTCTTTGATTTTTTTCTAGGAGGATATGTTTTCCCTTTACTTTGTGAGGTTCACTGTGTATTCCAGAGCCAGTATCTACTCTTCACTTTCACTAATTATGTGTATGTTCATGCATGCTAAGATTCCATTTCTGTTTGGTTTATCCTCTTTGTTGGTAAAAGCAAAGGTTGCACTCCACTCTACTTCAAAGATGTTTTCTCCTGCCATTCTCCTTCTGTTCATTTTCTACTGACTGCCTGTTTCTCTCTACTCAATTAGGCTGCTGATAGCTAGGAGAAAAAGTCTCCCACACCATTGGAAGCTCCTAGGCTTCCTTTATTTATTTATTTTGCCATGTTGATTCTCCATTCAATTTTAAAGCTTTAAAAAAAATCAGATCTATTCCTTCCTGCCCCCACCTTACTTCTCTCACTCTGCTCTTCTTATCTAATTATAGCAGATAATTCAGTAAAGGTGGTCTGGACCTGCCAGCCTCTATTTTTATTATTCCACAGCACTAAAGGCCTGGAGTACCTCAAGGAATGTCTCAGTTGTATGAAATCAACAGATAAAAATGGCATTGTGCTGTTTCTGTGCCAGTTGGTAAAGTAGTGATACAAATTAAGGTACTGCTGTAAAATAAAACATAATTTGATGCTTATTAATGGGCAGACTACTGTTTAAAATGCACATC